AAACTGCGAAATGTGCTGCTTTTTTTTTTTTTTTTTTTTCTTTTTCCTTTTTTTCCCAGTTGTTTTAGCACTGCTGTCCTTAGAGATGTCATGTTTGTCCTTGTCAGCAGGAGACATCAAGCAGGAAGGTGGAGGGTACAGGGAAGGCCCCCCCTACCAGAGACGGGGCTCGCTGCAGCTCTGGCAGTTCCTCGTGGCTCTCCTGGACAACCCCACCAATTCCCACTTCATTGCCTGGACTGGCAGAGGAATGGAGTTCAAGCTCATTGAGCCAGAGGAGGTGAAACCATTGGGGCTCTCTACAGGCTCAGGGGAATCACTCTTTGTTTCTGGGGCTGTAAATTCTCAAGTGGCTTTTCCTCTGCCCTGGCAGTGGCACCTGCCAGACCTTGCAGCAAGTCAAGGTTTTTAGAAGAGGTCAAAACACTTGAGTGGCACCAATATCAGGTTTAAGAAAGGCTGCTTTTGTGTGAGTTCAAAACCCCAGCTATGCAGCATGTCAAATTACCCACAGCCTTCATTTCCCTGGATATTCATTCCCAAGCCTGCAGTGACCTGTGCTGCCTTGTCATGCTCCATACTTGAGGCTGACATTGAGGTTTGGACTTTGGAGCCCTACTGATTGCAGAAGTTTTCATAATATACGTCCTAGTCTATCTTCATTTCAAAATTACTTCCACTGAAGTGCAATTTCAAATGCTGCCATGTTCCAAAAAAAATCCAGTGCTGCTTGACAGTGTCTGGGAGAAGTGTCCATAATACCTGTTCCTCTCTTTTTCCAGTTAGAGCTGCATTTAGCACTGTTCTTGCTACAAATCAAAGTTTATGGGCTCTTTCAGTGCAGATGAGTTGACATTGGCTTACAACAGACTTCTGAGTCTCGTGGATAAAGCTGAAAATTGTGTAGGAGTAGAAAGGCACAGGTCCCTTCCAGTGTGCTCCCTCATGCTTGGTCTCCTGATAAACATGGAACCTTGAAAATGAAGTGTAACATAGGAAAAAGCAGCCCTAGAAGAGGCCTCCTGGAGGAAAAGATCTCCTGGAGGGAGGATTGGTTGTGGAAGAGATAAAGAAAACTGCCCACTGAACAGCAGAGAACTGCCCCACCTCTGACAGCTGGTGATAGAATAAATCTGTTTATTTCGATTTAATAAATCTTTCAGCTAAACCCTGCAAGCTGAGGCTGCTGTGCTCACAGGCACTGCCTCCTTGGTGCTGTTTGCAGGTGGCCAGGCTCTGGGGGATCCAGAAGAACCGTCCAGCCATGAACTACGACAAGCTGAGCCGGTCCCTGCGCTACTACTACGAGAAAGGCATCATGCAGAAGGTCAGTTGGAAAAGCAGGAAAAAACTCTTGGTACTTTGTGTGATGCTTCTCTTGCTTGAGACAAGAAGCCCTAGACAGAATGTCCTTGAACCAGCTGTAGGAAATAGGAAAGGTAAGAAGATTTTTAGAGAGCTGGGCAAGGAGGCCTTGGAAAGAACAGAAAATTCAGAGCTAGCTGCAGCTGCAAAGTCAGAAAATGGAAAAAGTTGCTATGGTGTAAGCAAGCAAGGACATGAAACAATAGCCTGAGTTTTAGGCTCAGCTGAGGTTGACCTTAAGACTGCAGGAAAATATGATTAGCAAGATAGTAGAAGGTTTTATGATTAATAATGGTGTATTGTGGATTGTTAATAGAGAGCACTGTGTGAAGCAGGTGTATATGTGCTTTTAGTGATGGGCTAGGATTGTCTGTGAGCTTTAGCAATATGCTCTTGGCTAGAAATGTTTTCAAGTGCTCTCTAACAAAGAAATCCTTGGCTGCTGCAGGCAGGATGTGAGCTTTGCCATCCTCCTGCAGTCTCAGCCATGTACGAAGGCTGATGGTGCAATAAAGCTCCAGGAATGTTCTCCAGCAGTCCCTCCTGATTGTGAAAACAAGAAAACAAGCTCCAAACACACACAAAGCCAGGCATCCCAGCCTTGCTCTCCTTTCTTTGCTGTAGCTCAGTGGAGAAGCTGTGAACGAGCTGAATGTAGGCAAAGCTTGAGAAATAAAACCAAGGGGGAATTAGGGTTTATTTCTCTTTTTTTTGTATATATCTGCAGTCAGGAGAGTTGGAATTTATGCAGCTTCAAGGGGGTACAATCAGTCCTTCCTCTGGTGAGGAAAAGGCTGCCTGGAACTTGGTCCTGTGTGGTAGGGGTGGTGTGTGGCACACGCAGGGCCCTGGGGAGATAATTGGGAGTGTGATGGTCTGGGAGCAGGGGCTGCTGTTCAGGGGCTGCTGCTGCTGCTGCCTGGACAGAGAGTGGCAGCTGGCAGCCCCCAGGTCCCAGCAGTGCCACATTTTCTCCAGGTCTTATGAGCTCTCAGAGAAATACATCACACCTGAGATAGCCCAGCTACCTCAAATGACATAAAATCAGCACGATGGCTCCTGAGGTAGTGTTAGAAACAGAAAAGTTTTAATAACAGGCAAAATAACAAAACTCTCTACAGAGAAAACCCAAGCTAAGGGCAAGAGGCTCTTGCTCCTGGTAAAAAATACCCACAAAAGCAATTAGATCCTTTGCTCTCTTCTTTTTCTAGTGAATTGCTTAGGCAGGACCTTTTGGCCTCTGTCCAATCCTTAGGTCTGAGGTGAAGTCCCCAAGGTCCTATCTGGGGACAAAGACACCTGTGAGGTGTCTTCTTACCAAATTGAGGAGAGAAACTTGTGGATTTTCCTTTTGAAGGAGACAAAGGATAATTTGGTCACTCCATCAAGAGGGGACACAATTCCTACACAGGAGCTGCTCCAGGGGAGGTCAGAGCAGCACGAGGACAGCAGGGAAACCTTCCCCAAACTCCTATGGCTGCTTGAATGCCACGAGCCTGAGCTTGCTGGCTTTCTCAGGTGCATTGTGGAGGGAGAGGAGAAAAGGGAGTGGGGCAGGGAAAAAGCAGGTGAAAGATAAATTCAGGTAAAAGATAATTTCTGCCTTCTAGGCAGTCTTTGGTCCAAGGAGAAACGTACAGCTCTGACACACCTCAGGGCAGGCAGATGTTCGTGCAAAGCTTCCCTGGTGCTGCCCCTGGGCCTGCAGGGCTCACCTGGCCTCCTCTCCTCCCTGCAGGTGGCTGGGGAGCGTTATGTGTACAAGTTTGTGTGTGAGCCTGAGGCTCTGTTCTCCATGGCCTTCCCCGAGCAGCCGCGGCTGAAGGCGGAGCTGGAGCTCAGCGAGGAGGACACGGTGCCCCTGTCGCACCTGGGGGACAGCGGCTCCTACCTGCCAGAGCTGGGCAGCTTCCCTGCACAGCTCTACAGCAAAGGCTACAGCTACTAGCACTGCTGGGAGCACCGTGAGCAGGGAGGGATGGCTGGGGGCCAGCCCTGAACTCTGCAGCCCTGCTGTGCTCAGCAATCACCTGGCAGCACACAGGGCTCTCGTGTGCTTGTGACAAAAACTCCTGCTGGGTGAGGGTGGGGCAGGTTCTCAGCTGTGCAGAGATCTCGGGTGATTGGTGCCTCCAGAGGTATCAAACCTCTCACAATCCCCTCGTTGCAGAGGGAGGGGATGCTGTCCCACCAGGGCTTTTTTCGTTCAGAAAAATGAAATTATGAGAATGTTCCCATGCTGCTGCTGACTCTGTTCCTCCTGTACATGTCCAGCCCCTCTGCTTCCAGAGGAACTCACTCTGAAAGGCCACTTAAGCCTTCCCAGGATGGCTGCAGGACAATGGTCCCAGAGCTTGTGCCTTCCTTGAGGAATACTCATTAATTATCTTGTACCTGCATGCTCCTGCCCATGCCAGCAGTTTCTGGTATTCAGGCCCTCTGAGCAGGGCAGGTGGAGGCCTTGGCCAGGCTCCTGCAGTCCATGGCCCAAAGGCATTTAGGGGAACCCCAGAGGAGCTGGACTGCCCTGCTCTGGGGCACAGCTCAAAGCCAGTTCAGGATTTTGGGAAGCAGCAAAGCCTGAGGCACAGCTCAGTGTAGGGGTGTGGCTTTCCCAAACTGAAAAAGTTCCCCAACAAACATTCTCAGGATATTTGAAGAGCTGCCAGGCTCTGGAGTGTGCCCAGCCTGAGCTTGGCTAGAGAATTGGCTGAGGCAAGAAAAGAACCTGGTGGAGGTGTGATTAAAAAATGCTGTACAAGGTAACCTGAACCATACATAGATCTTAATATAGAATTCAGACTTAAACTCCACAGATATTTGCATGTTTGAGGGGAATTCAGATGTGTTGAAAAGGCAGCTCTCTCTGCAGTCCAGTGCAGCACATGCAACTTAACTAAACTGGCAGGTTTTCCACAACAGTAAATGTTCATAATAGGTACCACATCCTGATTAAGAGGTGCTTAATTTTTTAATTAGCAGCTCCACCACGTTCCCAGTAAGACAAGGAGCAGTACAGTGTACCCATACAGAAAAAGCCTCTTTCCACTGCTTCAGACTGATGTTTCATTTCAGCTGCTGAACACAGAGCATTGCCAATCCTGCCAGCATGGTAGCCTGTAGAAAAAATTCTGTATATTGCCTGAAAGCCTGATTTCCCCTGCTGGCTGTCCCCTGCATGGCTCATGCCAACCCTCCCAGCCTCAGCCCTGAGTGCAAGAGCCATGGAAGGCAGCACTCCCTGCCTGAGGAGAGGCACCCAGAGCTGCCTGCTCTGCTGCTGCTGCCTTTGGTGCTCTGACAGTTCCTGACCCTCCTGCCTGGCCCTGGCCCTCCCTGGGCAGCTCCTGTGCTGTCCCAGCAGTGAGGCTGAAGGGGAACCTTTCCTTTGGTATAAGCTGCCTTTACTATTTATGAGTGTAAAAATATTATCATGAATAAACTGCTCTGTCTCTGGCCAGTGCAACCTCACTGAGTGCTCCTGCTTTGCCTTCTGAGCTTGCTTTGCTCCTGCCCTTGGGCCCAGCTCACAGCTTTGATCCCTCCACCTGCAGCATTCCCCAGGATTTGACATTGATCCTGCACCCTCTGGGCCACCCCTCTGCCCTTCATGCTTTGACTCTCTGAGTCCAAAGTTACAAACTTTGTAATTGCCTTTAATTTTATGATATAACATGAGGGAAAGCTCAGGACGTTGAACAACATCCCTGCTCACCTTTGTACAGAGAGGTATTTCCAACATAGTTACTTTTCAATGTGAAACATTCTTCCAATTCGCTGTGTAAAACAACCAGTCAAACTACTTCTCTTCATTTCAACAATAATTTTAGCAAATGTCCCAGTTTTGGAAAAAAAAAATAAGGTTTCTACAGCTATGGAGTCAAATAAATTTCATCTGTTAGCAACAAAAAAAAATATTTTACAGATAGTTTGGGCCTGACACAGCACACACTGGGCAGTCAACTTCGTTTTGAAACAAGGAACTGTTACACAATTTTTACAGATATTTTACCTGTAAGAGCTCATTCTATTACAAAAACCCAACAGCTGTGATGCCACCAAACATTGTAAGTGAAAATAAAGCCCATGGCACATTGTATAAAAGGCCCAAACATTTGTAACCACTTACATTCCCAGATGGAACTGTGTGCAGAGGGGATTTCTGGCTGATAAACCCTGATGGGGATGAAGGGTAAGTCTTGCAGCCTGACCTGTGCCATTGTCCAAATACATTCTAGCTGGGTTTCAAGAATTTTTCCTGCCTTATCCCAAAGCCAGAGATACTAAATATCTCACCACAGATGGCTTAAATAAAATACAAATAGTTACACTGCATGGCAAAATGCATAAACTTGGTAAAATAAAGAACAGGCTGCTCCCAAAAAGCAGTCACTGACCAAGAACCTTAAGCAGAAATAAATCCCTTTTAGCAGGGTAAAAACACAAACTATTCCACCTTCTATTTGTCTGGTCACTCAGAACCCAGTCAGGCTGGTGAACAACCAGTTTTAAATCACCATTTTTTGTGTTGTTCAGCTCAGTTCACCCAGACTCTGAGTCTTAGATTTTGTGTCTTAAAAGGGGAATCTCTAAAAGGGGAAGCTGAAAATTTCAGCTCAGTACCCAGGCTCCTGAGTCTTAGATTTTGCCTCCTGAAAGGTGAACAACCTTAAAATCACCATTTAAACCTTTAAATCACCATTTTTTGTGTTGTTCAGCTCAGTACCCAGACTCCTGAATCTTAGATTTTGCCTCTAGAAAGGTGAACAACCAGTTTTAAATCACCATTTTTTTGTGTTGCTCAGCTCAGTACCCAGACTCTGAGTCTTAGATTTTGTCTCTCAAAAGGGGAATCTCTAAAAAGGGAAGCTGAAAATTTCAGCTCAATACCCAGACTCCTGAATCTTAGATTTTGCTCTTGAAAGGTGAACAACCAGTTTTAAATCACCATTTTTTTGTGTTGTTCAGCTCAGTACCCAGACTCTGAGTCTTAGATTTTGCCTCTTGAAAGGTGAAGAACCAGTTTTAAATCACCATTTTTTTGTGTTGCTCAGCTCAGTTCACCCAGACTCTGAGTCTTAGATTTTGCCTTTTGAAAGGTGAAGAACCAGTTTTAAATCACCATTTTTTGGTGTTGTTCAGCTCAGTACCCAGACTCTGAGTCTTAGATTTTGTCTCTCAAAAGGGGAATCACTAAAGTGCTCCAAGAGCCGCTCGTGAGAGGCTGCAGCAGCCCCTGGGGCTGCCCCTGAGCTCCTGCTGTGCCACAGCTGAGCTGCATGGGGCTGTCAGTCTCCCAGGCCAGTGGCAGCAGTGCAGAAGAGCCCCAGGGCCACAGGATGAAAGCAGCAGGTCCAGGAGGGCCCTGAGCTCAGCGCCGGCGGAAGGCGCGCGAGATCCTCCAGGCATTGGGCTCCTCGTAGCGGTTGTAGAGAGGCTCCAGCCTCTGCTGCTTCTTCTGCTTGCTCAGCTTGGTTGGGTCAGAGACCTTGAAGAAAGCTGGGGCAAACTCCACCAGCCAGCGAGGATCGATGGTGGTCACCTCCCTCATGTACTCCTTGGTGGTCAGCACCAGCTCGTGATACACCACCCTGGAAGAGGGACACAACGCTGCACATCGGTTTTTGCAAACAAGAGGCAACAAGGAAAGGGCTGGAGGAGATAAGCTTGCTCCTTTTAAGCTCCAGAAGAACCACCCAGAAGAGTTATCCCTCTGGATAAGGGACTGAGCAAGCCCAGTACTTGAGAATTGCTTTTGTTGAAGTCTCCCTTCCAAACCATCTCTGTTCACTAGGAGGATCTGAAATTATTTATTTCCCCCTCCTACCTCACAGCTACTCTTCAGCACAGAACTCCTCCACCCCATTTAAAACAATGCTCCTCTTCAACACCCAGTGTTTTAAACCCCCTTCCACAATAAAGAAACATCCAGTTACAACTTCAGGCCTGGCCCTGGCTCCAAAACTCAGTCTCATCTCTGCACAGGCACTAAGCTCAGCAGCAGAAAGAGACAAAAGTGAACTTGAAACTTTGCTCTGCTCAGATCTCTACTCCCCAAACAGCACACACCACAACTTTCTCTGTTGTAAAGTCTGAGGAAAACAGGAAATGCCTTCCTTACCATTCAGGCTGCCTGTTGAAGAGAGCACTGGATGGGTGGATGTAGACAACCTGCTGGTCAATGAGTGTCCTGTACCCTTCCTGGGGATCCTTCTTGGCTGCATTCCTGAAGAAGCCACTGCAAATGGCCTTCTGGACCCGAACTGTGGCCTTCCCACAGGACACCACATCCAGCTTATGCCTGCCAGACAAGAGGTAGAGAGAAAAAGATCAGAGCTCTCCAGATTTGAATGCAGCTACCAAGATGAGTCCAGCAAATTTTCTTTAGCTATTACAATGTAAGAACAGCAAGACACAGTGTAAGAGCTTGAGTGAGAGATGTGGGACTCCAGCTGGCTCTTCCAAATGCAGTTTATTACATCTAAGAAGTTGCAGAAATCCAGAGGTGTGGATAACAGAGCCTGTGCCCACAGCTGTCAGCTCCAGCTGCAGGCAGCCCTGGAGACCCTTTGGTTTTGGTTACATTGCATTATAAACTTTCCTTTGCTGAGCATCTTCATACAGGAGAACCAATCTATACCTTAACTTTTATCTACAGCCTATCATAACTACTGTAATGACCATATTCATGTCACTGATCTCCAATCACTAACAGTCAATACATTACAGTTTAAGCCAGAAGTTGTTTTTCAGTTTTCTTGCAGTGGAAAATTCTGAGACCTTTTTTCTACTTGCAGCTTTGCTGACTTGTTTGCCTGTGCACTCTTTCTGCTTGGTAAAAACATCTTCTTGTTTGAGGTGGGTTTATCCTTTGTTTTAAGTCATAAAAACCCCTCTAACCAACACATCCTTTGCCTCCTTGGTTATCCAGTCAGACTGGCTCAGCAATTCTTTTCTCTTATATCAAAACTTGCTTCCATCTCTATTCTTCCATCAAACTCTACATTCAAAAATCTTTCTGCTAAGCATCTGTGAGACTTTCTTGCCAGACTTTCATCCTTCCCAACACCACAGAGTCAGAACTTGTCCCTCCTTGATGTGCTCACCTGTCCATGATGCCCAACATCTGCTTGCGAATGTCCTGAGCCCGGCGTAAGGAACGGGCCTGGATGAAATTTTCATAGCACCAAGGATTTGAAAACTTATTGTTCTTCCAGGAATTGTACACAGCCAGCAGAGTGAGGTGGTCACCTTCTGTTTGATGGAACTTGGCTTTCTTTTGATCAGCAAGTGCTTGTTTATCCTAACATAAAATACACATCAGTCAGGTATCTCCATCCTAGAGAAAATCCCTGCACAACAAGGATGGCACAGGCTCCTTGTCATTCATTCATATCAGGACATTTTAAACCTATCAAGGTAATGATACAGGATTCTTGTGGTTAATTAATTAATTGATTAATTAATGATATGGGATTCATGTGGTTAGTTAATTAATTAATTAATTAATGATACAGGATTCATGTGGGATTTTTGGGGTCCCCCATGGCAGGAAGGAAAGATGAATTTGACTTCATGTTTTTAAAAGGCTAAGTTATTATTATATCATAGAATATGATATGATATAGTATTATATCATATTCTATCATATCATATTCTATTCTAGAATGCTATACTATAACTATACTAAAGAACAGAGAAAGGATACAGACAGGAAGTTTAACAAGATACTAATCAAAAACTCAAGACTCTCCAGAGTCCTGACATAGCCAGACTGTGATTGGTCATTAAGTAAAAACAATTCACATGTTGGATAAACAATTTCTAAACTACATTTCCAAGAAGAAACAAATATTTTTTCTTTTTTTCTGAAGCTTCTCAGCTTCCCAGGAAAAAAAATCCTGGCCAAAGGATTTTTCAGAAAATGTAACAGTAACAGGTTAGGACAACACAGAATGATTTTTCAATTTCAGTCCCTATTTTTGAAAGAACACATCAAAGTAAATGGCTCATTTATACTGCAGGGAGCATATGCACACACTGCACTAGCTGGTTTTCTTACTGCTCTACAAATTACTTCAGTAATTCATCAGGATATGGGCTGAAGCAATAGGTTTGAGCCTGGTGATCCACACACCTCTCCCATCTGCACATGAAACATTAATCAAATACTGCAGTCACATCAAACCTGAAGTTAACTACCCTGAAAAAGTAGTGGACCCAAGACAAACCTGATGCCACCACAGCAGAGCCTGTTTTACCTACTGACTTTAAAGAAAGCAGCACAGGATGGAGGTGCCATGAAGAAATACTTTCTGTGCCTCTGAAAATGCAAAGGCAATCTGAACTGCAGAGCTGGGACTGACTTGCTTTAGGGTACATGTGTTTGCTGGGAAATGCAAGAGCAATTTTAAGACTTTTCACTTCCCATCTGCAAAGAAACCACCACCAGCACAGCTACAGGGCCTTACATGAAAATGAAATTCTGACCAAATTACGAGTTTCTTTTGGGAAATGTGCTCACTCCTAAGCCCTGAATCATTCACCCCAAACCCACCCAGACTGTAACCCTGCTGCCTCTGGCCCAGCTGCTCACCTTTGGCCTGTAGAACACATTCTGCACAGACAGCATGGACACAATTGTCAGCATCTCCTCACTGCATCCCAGGTGCACTGACATGATCAACATCTTACACAGCATAGGCTCCAGGGGGAATTCTGCCATCTGCAAGAAACATGTTCCAAGGCATTCAGTGAAAAATCTTCAGTCTTCTCAGTGCAGAACAAAGCAACATATTTACTTTGCAAAGAGGTGGGCTTGGTCCACAATAACTTCACTCAGCATGAAGCAAATTATTTGTCTGTATTCACTATCACAAGAATATCTCAATACTTACAGGAAGTTTTTAGACATGAATAAATGTAAATTTATGAATAAGAAGAAACACTAGCTGCTCTTTAAAAAGTAGAAGATACTTTGAAAAAGCAGAAGGCAATTTTAAAAAGCATAAGGCACTTTGAAAAAGCAGAAGGCACTTTGAAAAAGCAGAAGGCAATTTTAAAAAGCAAAGCAATTTTAAAGGTACCTTTTTAAGGTCCCTTAAAAACCAGAAGGTACAGCAGAACTGTGGTAGATGAAAAGCTACCAAAAACTACAAGAGAGTGACAGCAAAAGCAAACCAACAATGCCAGGAGGGATTTTATTCTGCCTACCCTACGCCCAAGTCGAGTGAGCAGCCCCTCATCATCCAGAGCCCCCAGGGTGTAGAGCTGCTCCATGGCTGTAATCAGAGTTTCCATGGGGGGAGCATCCATGAAGTCAAAGGACAGCAAATCATTGATGCCCATAGCCTGGGAGGGATGGGAGAAAAGCCAGGTTAAAACACTCAGAAGGAAGGCAACAAAGTCCAGCCAGAGCCAGAACACCAAACACTGAGGCACTGCAGAGCTGGAGGCAAGGCAAGGCTCATGTGCTCATCCTGACTGCAGCTATGAATGCACAGCTGCCCTCCTGCACCTGACATAAGGAGCACTGGCCATGGCATTCCTGCACTACTCAGCTTTCTGCTCTGCTCTTCAGGTACTGCTCCACACATCCCTCTAGTAACATGACTCATTTGAGGAGAAACAGAAGCTGAATGCTGCTTTTGGGACTTGTGTCTGGTAAAGCAGAGGAGTCTGACAGCTCCACAGGACTCCAAGTGTGCTCCCAGAAAGGGGAATGGCAGCAGCTTTCCCAGCTGTGATGGGTTAATGCAGCTCACAGACTTCCAGAGGGATGGCACACACTTAGACAGGCCCAGGTTTGCAGCTCTAAACCCACTCTAAAACAATTTATCTCATCTGTTAACAGTATCAATGTCCCCTACATAGGAAATGCTACTGCTGGAGATTTCTTTTTCTCCTACCTCTTGCAACTGTTCTGTGCAGCTGAAACTCATCATTTAGCTGGCTATCCAACAGAATAACCCTCAATAAAACACACAGGAGCAAGCCCAGTGCTTGAGAATTGCTTTTGTTGAAATCTCCCTTCCAAACTCCCTCTGTTCATTAAATCTGAAATTACACTATTGCTTCCTGAGACTCAAAGGCAGAGACTCATTCATTGACACACTTACAGGCTGGCTTGCTGCAAGCTGGTGAAATACCCACCTTCAGGGAGAGCACTGTACTGGCCAGATTTGTTCTCTGGATTTCAGGCACGTTGGTGGTCAGCATCTCATCCCTGTATGCACGTTCTGTGTACAGCCTGTAGCACTTTCCTGGGCCTGTCCTGCCAGCCCTGCCTGCACGCTGCTTGGCTTGAGCCTGAAGAGAACAAGTGAACAGGTACAAAAAAACAGGTGGAAACAATTAAAATAAAATGGTTATTCACAATTTTATTTGTATGGATAGAAAGGCTTTCAATAGAACATGAAGAATGTGTTCTGTAGGCACAGACTCAAGGAGCTGTCAGAAATGTGGGTTTATCATTGCCTCATTTTGCTCACTTGTGCTTGAAAAAAGTGAAATAAAATGGTTATTCACAATTTTACTTGACTTTCAATAGAACACAGGGCAGTATGGATTCTGTAGGCACAGACTCAAGGAGCTGTCAGAAATGTGGGTTTATCATTGCCTCATTTTGCTCCCCTGTGCTTGAAAACAAGTGAAATAAAATCAGGTGAAAACAAGTAAAATAAAATGGTTATTCACAATTTTACTTGTATGGATAGAAAGGCTTTCAATAGAACATGAAGTATGTGTTCTGTAGGCACAGAGTCAAGGAGCTGTCAGAAATGTGGGTTTATCATTGCCTCATTTTGCTCACTTGTGCTTGAAAACAAGCGAAATAAAATCAGGTGGAAACAAGTAAAATAAAATGGTTATTCACAATTTTACTTGACTTTAAATACAAAACAGGGAAGTAAGGATTGTGTAGGCACAGACTCAAGGAGCTGTCAGAAATGTGGGTTTATCATTGCCTCATTTTGCTCACCTGTGCTTGAAAACAAGTGAAATAAAACCAGGTGAAAACAAGTGAAATAAAATGGCTATTCACAGTTTTACTTGTATGGATAGAAAGACTTTCAATACAACATGAAGTATGGATTCTGTAGGCACAGACTCAAGGAGCTGTCAGAAATGTGGGTTTATCATTGCCTCATTTTGCTCCCCTGTGCTTGAAAAAAGTGAAATAAAATGGTTATTCACAATTTTACTTGACTTTAAATACAAAACAGGGAAGTAAGGATTGTGTAGGCACAGAGTCAAGGAGCTGTCAGAAATGTGGGTTTATCATTGCCTCATTTTGCTCCCCTGTGCTTGGATGCCACATTGGCAAGACACACAACACCCATGGGGAAAGCCAAACACAGAATTTCTACCTGGGAAATTGGTGTCACCACCAGCTGGTCAATCCCAGTCTTGGAGTTATAAACCTTCTGCTTCACAAAGCCAGGATCAACCACATAATATATTCCATCAATAGTCAAAGATGTCTCTGCAATGTTGGTGGCAATGACAACCTGCAAATCACAGTTTGAGTCAGCACCAGCTCTGGGTCAGGCTGCCAAGCCCACCCCAGCACCCAACTGCACCCACTGGTGTGACATGAGCAGTTTGTTACAAATGCAACCACTGTCACTCAATGTTGAAAGGAGAAATGTGTTCACAGGGAACAGGAGATGTTATCCACAAAGATGGACAGGTTTTAAGTATCTACCTTTGTTTAAAGTTTGGGCAAAAGGGAAAAGAGCATGATAAAATCCACAATTCAAAGCAAGAGAGGGCTTGTAAGCAGACTGCACTGACTTCAGGGAGACTTTTTAGCTATCACTCAGACACAGTCTGTATTCAGAGAAAAATCTTCCTGAGAATGTATCTCTAGATAGTCACCAGCTGCTTGGTAGGAAATTTACCTCCCTCCAACAGGAACTGCATTTAGATTTGAGATTTTTAGATTAACTGATGTTAGTATCCTTTAAACACAGCATTAAATAACACAGAGGTTTGCTACACCAGATGTTTTTACATGTGTTCAAAGGCTTAGATAACTTGAGATTTATACAATCAAAAATATGCTCTAAGCTGTGAATCATCTTTTCCCCAAGAAGTTTATCCTTTAAGCACTGTAACACACCCCACTATTAAAATGTACCAGCAGAAGATGACAGGGCACAAAGCTGGAATTACCTTTCTGCTCCCTGGTGGGGCTGGGTCAAAGATCCTGGTCTGCATTTCACTGGGCAAAGCTGAATACACTGGTAGGATAATTAACTCTGGAACATCAGGGCCCAGAGATTTCATCCTCTCATAGAGGATTTCACAGGCAGTGTCAATCTCTTCCTGGCCAGTTAGAAAGACCAAAATGTCACCTGCACAGGAAGTAAATGAAAACATCCACAGAATCAATTCTGTTCATTACAACTCCTGCATTACCATATTTTCATTCCTCATGTTTTCCATTGATGAGGATCCTCAACTTTTGCTAGCAACTCTTAGCCAAAGGCAACAAACTTCAGTCTTTCACCCACATTTTTCAGCATTTCAGTTACTGTATTTACAAACAAGAGAGAGCATTTTGCTCACATTACTAACATGATCCATGAATTACACAAAAACCTTGCTCAGAGATCTTTAAATCACCAATAACCCAAGACCATTTTCCACTCACCTGGTGGCTCTGTTAAATGGATCTGCATTACTGTAATCAGGCTGGCATCCAAATAATCTGTCTCTGGCTCTTTTGTGTAGAGAATTTCTACTGGGTATGTTCTGCCAGGAATTGTGAAGATTGGTGCTTCATAGAAATACTGAGAGAATTTCACAGCATCCAGAGTTGCTGATGTCACAATCAGCTTCATGTCCTGCCGTTTCTGCACTGTCTGCAGGAGCACAAAGTTCTCAAGTCATTTATTGCCTTTGGAACTAGCAAAATATGGCACTTGACTGAAATCAGATAAATCCAACCAGTAATAAAAGGTGTTTTAATATCTGAGTAGAGGGGCAGCTCAACCCAGTACCAGAATTTCAGAAAATTGACCCCTGAAGTGCCATTTGAAGCCTCCCTCAGCACCATTATCACAAGAAAGCTTTTGGCAGAGCAGGATGAGCAAATCAAGAACATTCCCCTGTTCATCCAGCATTATGAACAGCCAGGATGGCCAATTCTCACTGGTCCTGCTGCATTTTGCTTGCTCTGCCTTCACACAGAGGCTCATTTCACCAAGATTCAGACCATAAACCCTTAAGAGCATTTGCTCTTGGAGCACATGGATGAACCTAACTTGTGTGACTTCCCCTTTGCCTGTGCTCTCCTGTCTCTGTCATGTTTTCTGGAAAAATCCCCTTCCCCACGATTTTCTCCTGGGAAGCTGAGAAGCCTCAGCTTCTCCTGTGTTTTGCTGTTTTGGAATATGGTTGGAGATTGTTTATCCAACATGGGAATTGTAACTTAATGGCCAACCAGGGTCAGGCTGTGTCGATGAGGAGTCAGGAGTTTTCATGATCATTTTTTGTAGCCTTCTGTCTGTATCCATTCTCTATTCTTTAGTAGAGTTTAATATAGCATTGATATGATATATGATAATCAATTAGCATTCTAAGAACATGGGAGTCAGATTCTCAATTCCTCCTTCATCCTCCTTCCAAGAGCATTTGCTCTTGGAGCACATGGATGAACCTAACTTGTGTGACCTCACCTTTGCCTGTGCTCTCCTGTCTCTGTCATGTTTTCTGGAAAAATCCCCTTCCCCACAATTTTCTCCTGGGAAGCTGAGAAGGAATATGGTTGGAGATTGTTTATCCAACATGGGAATTGTTGTAACTTAATGGCCAACCAGGCTCAGGCTGTGTCAATGAGGAGTCAGGAGTTTTCATGATCATTTTTTGTAGCCTTCTGTGTGTATCCTTTCTCTATTCTTTAGTAGAGTTTAATATAACATTGATATGATATGATATATGATAATAAATTAGCATTCTAAGAACATGGGAGTCAGATTCTCAATTCCTCCTTCATCCTGGGGACCCTGAAAACACCACACTGAAAGGAGTAAACATCCAGTGCTCCAGTACCTTCTTCAGGAGCCCAAAGAGCACATCAGTATGGATGGTCCTCTCGTGGGCCTCATCCAGCATGATGATGGCATACTGGGTGAGATCTGGGTCTATCAGGCACTCCCTCAGTAACATCCCATCTGTCATGTATTTGATGACAGTCTCAGGGCTGGTGCAGTCTTCAAATCTAATGGTGTAGCCAACCTGGAGGGAAGAGTTGCACAGAACCAGAAGTTACACAATTATCAGCCCCATTAATCCCCAGGTTGATTATTCCACAAACTCCCTTTGCAGCCTACAAGGGAACAGACAAATGGACACACAAGACAACTAGCTCCAACACTGATTTCTCCTACTTTTCATTATTATTTTGGCATGTTCTTCAACATGGAAATTCACCTCTTGTCCCAAGCAGCAACCAAACTCCTCTGACACCCTCTTTGCAACAGACATGGCAGCCACTCTGCGAGGCTGAGTGCATCCAATCTTCCCTCTTGAGGTATATCCTGCCTCAGCCAGGTACTGGGTAATCTGGGTTGTTTTCCCAGATCCTGTCTCTCCAATAACAATCAGAATCTGGTTGTCATGCACAGCCTAGAAAAGATCAAAAAAACACACACTTGTTAAAATTTTTTAAGAATTAAAACAAACCAAACGAAATCAGCATGGGCTATCTGGGACTAGATTGAGCAGCTCTTGCTTTTGCTTCAATTCTCAGAATAAAAATCATGTCAGTATTCCTATTGAGCAAGTCAGCAACCTGTTTAAGTGCTCAGCTGACTTACTCACATGATCTTAGTATCAATTTTGACTTACATTAATAAATGTCTGGAACCTCATTAAATATAGAGATATATATATAAAATACTTTAAAATACATATTGTGAGTTAAAGTTCTGCACTTAAAGTTATCAGCAGGCTATTCACCTATCAAAAAGCTAAACCAAGAGTATTTATTTTAAATTACTGCTTGCTCCAACCAGAATGCCTTTTCATGAGTCTTACTTGTATCAGCTGCTCCTTCAGTCTGAAGATTGGGAGGCTCTCTCTCTGTTCAATGATGGAAAGCTGGGTCTTCTTACCATAAGAAGCTTTGTTGCCACCAAATGCATGTTTCTTCCACTCTGGGATATCATTTGGCATCATCCCAATACCTCTCATGTTGGCAGCTATTTGTCTTCCATCCACTAGAAAAGAAACAAATTTCATCCTTTACACATCCAGATTCACACAGCACAGACCTGATCCTGCTCCAACAGCTCCATCACCCAGGCCTTCTATTCTGTGTGTTTAAATGTTTTTAGGTTTCCAAGTGGATACCCCCACTATTACAGGAGATACCTGTACACCTCCCCTGACATTCCTATTTCCATTTCAGTGGAAAAGCATTTCACTTTTGAAGTGTGGCAGACAAACACAGCACCAGGACATCTCTCCTGGGTCACTGGAGTAGCACAAAAAGGCAGAGTTCACCTGTGCTCAGACCTACCATCAGGGAGAGGGTCCACCCAGTGTGTGTTGAGGCCCATGGGGATGGAATCCATCTCTGCTTCTCTCTGGGCTTGTTTCAGTTCTCTCCTCTCTTTAGCTAAAGCACTTTGCATCATGGCAGCCTGGGACAGGGAACCATCTGGGTTCTGGAGAGCAAGAAGAAAAGATTTCAAGCACCACCATTCCTTCACCTTCAATGTATCTTTTTTTCAGAAACATCTTCTAAAAATGCTTTAAAAATGTTAAATTTTGTTTATTACATTTCCAGGGTAATTCCATCAGGCTAGCCTCATAAACTTTTATAGTCATAACTAATATGGAGCATCCTTACACTGCCCAGTCAGAAGGATGACAGGCACAACCAATGGAAAATATTTCTTTACTACCTTCTACTTTCAGAAAGTAACAAAAAGCAGATCAGAGAAATTTTGTTTTAACACATCTATGTAAAATGGCATTTCAGTTCCATTCTTCCACTTCACAGTCACCAGTGAAGTTAGAACCCAGATTTATTTGGAAGGAGTTCAGTGGTTATGCTTTTCAGGGCTCTCAGTAATGAGCAGGTGGGAAATTCCCTGGTTATAAAATTCCCAAATATTCCTATCATTTAATCAAGTCCATTGATTTTAGCCCTGGAAATCTCTTACCTTTACTATTTTAATGGGACTCATATCCATACTCTGTTTAGTGTGCCCTCGAAGAAATGGTGGCTCTTCTTCAACCAGCTCAATCTCAAGATCCTCATCTAAAATTCACAAGTGACAATTGTTACAGAAAAATTAAACATCTTTTGGTGCCTCTTCAAATAATGCTTCCCATGCAGTCTTAAATATGAGGTACTTAGAAGTTTTAAAACATTGCAAATAAAAATGCACAGACAGGGCACATCCAAACGTGAAGAGGAACCCTATTGACAGCAAATTGTGAGATGCTTTATAGTTCCTTCTATCATCAATATATTTTGAATCAAAATACATCCAGAAAGACAAGGAATTTACAACAATAAGACTGCTGGGGAATATTACCTTCTTCATCATCCACTTTAGGAAGAATCCCAGTCTCCTCATCAAAGTCAGGAAACTCTTCCTTGGAAAGCACATTAGCTGCAATCATCTGGGAACAGAATGAATACAATGTGAGTCTGTCCCCATGAATGAACATACCTCATGCCTGAGTCAGTTCTAAAACAGGAACAAAGGAATGGTCCTGCATCCTGTATCCTCACCCAGCCTCTGACCAAGGAGTCCTCCTGTTACTCAAAACACCAACTAAACAATCCCAGACCAGAAACCAGCAACTCCAAGTTAATGAGCAAGTTACCCAATCCAGGAGCTGTATTCTAGTTCATCAAACCCCCTGGCAACTTCACCAGCTTTACCCCATTGCCCTGAGTGCAGCACAGACCTGTTTTATCTCCCACTTCTCCGGGTCCGAGATGCGGGTGAGGCGTTTGCGCTCCAGGCTGTCGTCCTCCACCTCGGGGGCGTTCACCAGGGACAGGTGACTGGGCCTGTCTGGGTTCCTCATGGAGCTCTCCTCGTTGCTTTCTCCAACCAGGTTCCTCCTACGGTTTGGGTTCAGGTCTTCTCCAGTGTCTTGATCAACGTCCTGCATCAGATGGGTTGGGTAATCAATCAGATCTACACTGTCAGTCAGATCTACACTGTCAGTCAGATCTACATTATCAATCAGATCTACACTATCAGTCAGATCTACCTGTCAATCAGATCTACACTGTCAGTCAGCTCTACACTGTCAGTCAGCTCTACACTGTCAGTCAGCTCTACACTGTCAGTCAGCTCTACACTGTCAATCAGCTCTACACTGTCAATCAGATCTACACTGTCAGTCAGATCTACACTGTCAATCAGCTCTACACTGTCAGTCAGCTCTACACTGTCAATCAGCTCTACACTGTCAATCAGATCTACACTGTCAGTCAGCTCTACACTGTCAATCAGATCTACACTGTCAGTCAGATCTACACTGTCAATCAGCTCTACACTGTCAGTCAGCTCTACACTATCAGTCAGCTCTACACTGTCAGTCAGCTCCACACTGTCAGTCAGCTCCACACTGTCAGTCAGCTCCACACTGTCAGTCAGCTCCACACTGTCAGTCAGCTCCACACTGTCAGTCAGCTCTACACTGTCAGTCAGCTCTACACTGTCAGTCAGATCTACACTATCAGTCAGCTCTACACTGTCAGTCAGCTCTACACTGTCAGTCAGCTCTACACTGTCAGTCAGCTCTACACTGTCAGTCAGATCTACACTATCAGTCAGCTCTACACTGTCAATCAGCTCTACACTGTCAGTCAGCTCTACACTGTCAGTCAGCTCTACACTATCAGTCAGCTCTACACTGTCAGATCTACACCGTCAGTCAGCTCTACATTGTCAATCAGCTCTACACTGTCAGTCAGCTCTACACTGTCAGTCAGCTCTACACTGTCAGTCAGCTCTACACTGTCAGTCAGCTCTACACTGTCAGTCAGCTCTACACTGTCAGTCAGCTCTACACTGTCAGTCAGCTCTACACTGTCAGATCTACACCGTCAGTCAGATCTACACTGTCAATCAGCTCCACACTGTCAGTCAGCTCTACACTGTCAGTCAGCTCTACACTGTCAATCAGCTCTACACTGTCAATCAGCTCTACACTGTCAGTCAGCTCTACACTGTCAATCAGCTCTACACTGTCAGTCAGCTCTACACTGTCAGCTCTACACTATCAATCAGCTCTACACTGTCAGTCAGCTCTACACTGTCAGTCAGCTCTACACTGTCAGTCAGCTCTACACTTCTTCTCATCTATTAACTCTGCCATTAACAGCCCATTCACAAAAAATGCTGGTTTGTAGGCTTTTAGGTTTTTTTCAGCTGGTACTGCCAAGTAAGAACGTCCTCAGGCATGGAACACTCAATAGTAGTGATTTAGTTTAAAATTAAAAGCTTCTCTCCTACTGGAAGAGGAAGACAAACAGCAAGAGCTTGAGGTTTGCCTTGCCTCTTTGATATCATGTCAAGCCAAGGAATTGTTAGGAACACTACATCAGAACTAGAGAAAACGTGTAAAAAGTAATAGGTCATTTAAATACAGAATGGTAACTTTGCTTTTAACTCTCAACTGAACAGTTATTATTAGTTTCCACCAAAAAGAGTGAAAAATAGCTAGAAGAGGCAATATTTTAAGAATTGTAGCACCTCTGTACCTTCATGCTCAGGCTGGTTTTGGATCCAGTAAAAGATAACACTTTGACTTTCACTCTTTGCCCTTTGCTCACAACATCAGCAACATTGGCAACCCGTCCTTCTCTTCGCAGCTCTGAGATGTGGACCAGACCTTCCCAACGTTTCCTGGGAGTCAAAGAGAGGGGCATGAGAGGGGCACATTGTTACTCTGACTGCAACATATTTAAATATAGATTCTGAGTGATCTGAGGAGCTGGCAACAGACTGTGTATGTCCACAATCTGGTTTTTGTAATGAGAATTTTGTAATTCTCCGCTGTCAAATTTATCTTTCTGAAACATCCCTTCAAAGCCCAGGATTCCTGCTGGTAGCTTCATCACATCTTTAGGGTACCAGCAGAAAAGAACTGAGCTGAAACAGTACCAGATCAATGAACTGAGCTGAAACAGTACCAGATCAATGTCACTGTCATATTTTCTGAAAAATCCCTTTGCCAGGATTTCTTCTCCTGGGAAGCTGAGAAGCCTCAGAGAAAAATGAAAACAGTGATTATCTGATTGCTTCTCCTGTGTTTTGCTGCTTTGGAATGTGGTTTGGACATTGTTTACCAACTGGTCACTGTTTTATTGGTTTCATGTGAATTGTTTTGACTTAATAACCAATCACAGCCCATTGTCCAGGCTCTGGAAGCAGTCACAAGTTTTTCATTAGTATCTTGTTAAGCCTTCTGTCTGTATCCTCTCTCTATTCTTTAGTATAGTTTATTACAGCATTCTTTAATATAATATAGATCATAAAATAATAAATTAGCCTTCTAAGAACACGGAGTCAGATTCTCAATTCCTCCTCCATCTGGGCAACCCAGAAAATACCACAGATCTATAGGGAACATCAAAGGGTACCTCAGTCCTTCCAGCTGCACAAAGCACCCAAACTGCATGATGCTGGTGACTTTGCCATTGTAGATGTCCCCAATGGAAGGTTCCTCAGCTGGGGGTCGGTCTATGTGCTTGTCCCTCCACCTCTCATGGCTTTTCTCAAGGTATTTCTCTCGATCCCTGCGCTCCTTGCTGGGACTCCAACTCCTGCTCCTTGATCTGTATCTGGATTTTCCCCTGTTCCTGTCCCGAGTCCTGGAACGGGACCTGGAGCGAGATCGGTGCCTCCGCTTCCTGTCCCTGCTACGGCTTCGGCTCCTCTTCCTTTTCTTCACCCTAACAAACCAAAATTCCATCTCTGCAGTGCATTCCCACCTCAGGCAATGAGAGCAGCCAAGATTCCATCTCTGCAGTGCATTCCCACCTCAGGCAATGAGAGCAGCCAAGACATCCTCCCCCCAGACACACCAGGCACCTACCGATGGTCGCTGCCCCTCTGCTTGCCCTGCTTGTCTGCACTGGGCATCAGAGCTTCCAGCTCCTTCAGGGCATCAGCTGCCACCTTCACATCATCTTCATCCAGCATGGTCTGCAAGGACAGAAAACTGATGCCTCTTTCTGCAAAAGGGCTGATAAAAAGCTTGTCACAAAGAATTAATCTACAGAGTTGTCATCGTATGTACCTCATCATATGTGTATCTATTTAGAAAGAATACAGGATTTTAAAAATCAGGCTCAATATGAGATAAAGAAGAAAAGGACTCTCCCTATTTGGCCACAATATTGAGACAATTCTGCTTTTTTACAGTAGGAAATTCCATCTCAGTGCCCCAAATTGTTACAGAAATACAAAATTAGAGTCCCTCAGAGTATCTGAACATGCAACACTTTTCATTAGTTTGTAACACATCATTACTTTGAACATTATGTAAGGAAGGCCAGGCTACAAATTTCATGTCCCAAGAGTCTCATCTTCCACATATTCTGCAAAACAGTATCAACATGGCAACTGCTAACAGCTATTCTTTGCAACAAAGTGCAGTAACACCAGTCTTCTACCTCTTCCACATTTCATTTCTCAAAGTTCACATTTATGCATGCATCAGACAGAGAAAAAAGGTTGAAACTAACAGGGAAAAAGAAAATAAAAGTTTTCACACAGTAACAAAGGAAATCTGAAATGACCATCTTACCCTGATGTTGGGATTGTCTGGCCTGCAAAGGGCTGGATACAATTCCCTCAACTTTTCTTTCTCTGATTTGGGTTTGACAACTGCCTCTGATTTTGAGATTAAAAAAAGAAAGAAAGAAAGAAAAAAAAAAGCAAAATGAAACACAAAACTTAGAACTGCTACAACCATTCTCTCTCGATTTTTCTATAATTAAATATAAAATTTAATTTCCATCTGAATGCAAAGGCTGCTACAGCTTTAACAGAGATTCAATTCAAGGAACAACGTGTTGCCTCCCTTCAAAGAAAACTCTGATTATTAGTGAGTATTTGAAACACAGAACACCCTGAGCAGCACACACAGAATAACAACAGCAGGATGCAGGGTGCAATAGGATTTGCTGTAGAAAACTAAAACAGAAAACAGAAGCTCAGCCAAGACTGAGCCCTGGCCCCAGGTACCTTTGCTCGTGGATGGTTTTGGTGGAGGCCGCATTGTCTGGATGAGACGGAGCAAGTTACTGATGAGGGAATCCTGGAAAATAAAAAAATCAATAAAATACTTCAGGAAATGCCAGAAACACTTTCGTTGTTAGAAGGCACAAGTGAGGGTTTATTAGCAGGACAAAAAAATGCTCAATTCTGAAGGTGCAGGTTGATTTTTAGCAACTGTCACTGGGCTTTGTGTATGCCCTAAAAAGAACCCAAAAATAATTATGATAATTTAATCTAAGTGACTTTTCTGTTCATCGTTTTAATCACCTATTTAATCCAATTATTGCTGAGGAATCAATAAACACAGCATAAAAGCATCAAAAGAAGACTTATGACAACATCTGCCTTCATGAAAAGTGATTTCTTCCATATTTTATATGCTCAACACAACAATAAGCAGTTTGAGTCCTCAGGAAGATGCTTTTTCAAAGACTACAAAAGTTTTAAAAAATATGAGGGAGAGGAAGGCAGGGGAGACAGGAATGTCAAAAGCTAATTAGTATGTAGTTTCCCAATTGAAAAAACCCAATAATAACTCCTCACAACTTTTCTATTTTTAAAATAGAAAGCTCTATAAAATATAGGACAATAAAAATAGTACATAAACAACGTTCAGGTGTCACTTACAGTGAACTCAGCACCATTCTTCAAAAGAATTGCTTTAAACGTGTCAAACGTGGTATTCTTCTCGGCAAGACTTATCACAAACTCGGCTGTGAGGGAAAAGCATAAAGTAAATTGAAATAATGAAGTAAAAAGCGGGGCAAGGAGTGCACGAGGGGACAGAAGCAGCTCAGCCGGGCCCCTGCGGGGGGAAAAGCCCGGGGAGCTTCCCCTCGGTTCCCCCCGGGCCGAAGCGTTGCCTCAGGCTCACAAATTGTACTTTTTAAAGAAAAGTAACGGGCTTTAATGCCTATATTCGAAAAGCACCTTCACAAAACGCATCCGGCCCCACGGAAAGGGCTACTCCGGCCCTCGGCCAGCTGGCCTCTGTCCGGGAACGCGCTGCTCACCGGAGCGCCCCGGAGGTGCCCGAAGGCCGCCCCGCTTACCCAGGTCCTTGTCGTTGATGCCCAGGTGGTTGTCGAGCTCGGTGCACACCTTGGACACCAGCGAGAGGTACTCGAGCTTGGCGAGTTCCTCCGCCGCCGCCAGCTCCGCCATGGCCGCCGCGGCCGCGTCCGGGGCGCGCCGGAAACGGCGCCGTGATGGGAGAGGGGCGGGGCCGGGGCACGGCGGGGCGGGGCCCGGGACGAGACGGGGCGGGGCCCGAGGCACAGCGAGACGGGGCGGGGCCAAGTCACAGAGGGGCGGGGCCCGGGGACGAGAGCGGGACGAGAGCGGGACGAGAGCGGGACGAGAGCGGGACGAGAGCGGGACGAGAGCGGGACGAGAGCGGGACGAGAGCGGGACGAGAGCGGGACGAGAGCGGGACGAGAGCGGGACGAGAGCGGGACGAGAGCGGGACGAGAGCGGGACGAGAGCGGGACGAGAGCGGGACGAGAGCGGGACGAGAGCGGGACGAGAGCGGGACGAGAGCGGGACGAGAGCGGGACGAGAGCGGGACGAGAGCGGGACGAGAGCGGGACGAGAGCGGGACGAGAGCGGGACGAGAGCGGGACGAGAGCGGGACGAGAGCGGGACAGCGGGCGGGGAGTGCTGGGCACCGAGCCTTTACCAAGGCTATCATCACGACAATGCGAAGAAAGAGGAAAAAAAGTGTAAGCAAAAAGATGTGGGCTTCGGTTGGCTTACACGGGGGCGTGGCTCCTTTCACTTCTTGAAAGGTTTGTTTCTTCTTTATGACAAATGGGCAGTGTGTGTGTGTAGGAAAGAGATTTTTGTGCTGTTCTTGTGAGCCAGCGAAGGCTTCCTGAAGATAAGGAAAGCCCCGTTTCTCTCTCAGGGCTGTCACCACGACAATGTGAAGAAAGAGAGAGAAAGGTACAAGATATGACTTTAGTTGGCTCAGAGAATGACGTGGCTCCTTTTCACCTATTGAGAGTTTTGTTTCTTTTTTATGATCAATGGGCAGTGCATGTGTTTGTTAAGCAAATGTAAAGATCCTGTAAAACTATAAAGGCACCATGGTGCTTTAATAAAAGCCCCCTTGTACAACCTTCTGATCTGAGTCTTGGTGCTTGTGCCCTTAAGTAAATGTAAATATCTTGTAAAACCATAAAAGCAACATGTTGCTTCAATAAATTAGTGTAAACAGCCCTCTGAGTGAGTCCTGGTGCTCTGTGCCATGTGGGGGTCTAGAGTGACACCATCCCAACCCCCCAGTTCACCCAAAATAAGATACAGAGATCACATCTGCTCTATAGAATATATTATAAATTATGTCATGCATCCATTAACAAAATATACAAAGCCAACAGAAATATATCTATCTTAAGCCTGAGCATACAGCATCTAAACTCTAGTAAAAAGGAAACCTAAAGAGAAACAGCATCTCACACTTGCCACTTCAATCCTCAATTAGGTGTTCCTCCTCAAATGCTTCAGTTTTGTAGTTTACAGAACACATGAACATTCCAGGTACACATGGTGAACATGGGTCCTGCTGGGCCTGACAGACCCCAGCAAATAAAACCACACTATGCTTCAAAGTGTCAGCAGCTTCTGCATTTCACCCCTGTCCTTCCTCCTCCTTGTCCCAGAGCTGGCATCAGTCAGAAGATACTCAAAAAAACCACATCCAAGTGAAGGTGGAAAGTCACAGAAGGATCTTTACCTGGTCCACAGCACACAGTTGTACTGGTGTACAGAGAGATGGGAAACGTTGCAAAATACTTCTACTGTATTTCAAAATAAACATTTAAGAGTATATCTTCCACAATCTATAAAAATAGGTTTAAAAGGAAAGTGGTATGATACATTTGTTTTCTTGGACTATTTTAATGGTTATTTTATCTCTATGGGTACTAAAGTCTTTTAAAAAATTACTGATAACCTGGCCAGCACAATACTGACACTGCTTCAGCTATGCTGTGACAAAACAAAGGTACTACTTTGAAGCAGGAGCAATCTAAAATATTTTAGAATCAATGGTCTCTTACTGCAGCAAGGAAAAAAATGTTTATTTGAAAGTAAGAATGTGGGCAACACTGTCAGCTGCTGAGGGACTGAGCTCTGAGGAGTTCTCTGCATAACCCACTGCACAGCAGTGTCTGGTGCTCATTTATTTGTCATTCTTCAGCATCCAATCTCTCAGCATATTTAGAAAGGAATTCTTAGATTTCCAAATTAAAGATGGGCATCTAAAAATCTTACCAGAAAAATGAATTCTACAAATGTGGCTATGGGAACACAGGACCAGCTAAAGCCATCAGAGGAGACTGTACATTTGAAAGTGCTTAAGTTAATGCATTTTTCAAACTCTCATGTAAAGTTATGTGATCCCTGCTTCAAGCATTCTTTCCATTCCTAAACATTACAAAAATTTATTCTCCAGTTCAGGTCTGGGTCCCTACACATTCTTGCATTTTTTTATGTGGTATTAACAGAGTAAAATGTTTGCACTGTAGTGAAAAAAGGTAACGGTCAAATTTTTTATATTTTTACAAAGAGCCTGTAAAGATTCCTAGAAAAGCCTTTCCTAGCCTTTCACTCCATTTTTAACAAAATATTTTATGTAGGTTATACTTCTACAGTTAGAGATCTGGTGTGCACTATCATTACTGATTCAATTGCTGGTGGTAATTTTCCTGCTTCATTCTGCTACAACAAACAACAACTTTACTGGTATTCATCAGTTGAACAGTTCCACTTTTAGACTTCTCAAAAGTCTGAATTCAAGATGAGTCTGAATTCAAGACGACTTCTCAAAAGTCTGAATTCAAGATGGCTTTCTTTTATGAGCAACTTCTTTTTCTTAGAATAATTTGTAAGATTGAAATTTGTCACTTTACTATCACACATTGGAAAACCAATTACTAACTCTTCAGAAGAAACAAAGAAACTCCTAGTTTCAGGCATCTCTTGTAAATTAAGCAGGACTACATTTTATAGCAGCATTTTACACTGGTTTCTATTCCAGAGCTAATTAAGCCAACAAAAAAATTCCAGCTGCCTAAAAAAAAAAGTATATACACAATAAAATGGGAAGTTCTCACCTGGGTACAAAGTTGAGTTCTACATGATTCCCTGGTAAAAGGATTTGAGCTGAAATTAGAGATTTAAAGACCACTCATTTAACTATGAGGTCTAAATAATAACTGAAATTCTGGTATCCATTTCAAGAGATGCCACAAGAGTTGTTTGACATTTCCACGAGGGTAAAAAGAAAAAGAAGTCAAATGCTCAAAGAAAAGCTGAAGTTTTAAGCCAAACCTCCAAACAGAGAGCAGCTGAGGAGCAGCCTGCTGATCTTGCAAGCTTGAATTGGAGTTTACTCAGTGAGGATTATTCCTCTCCCCAGCAGGCAGGTTTAGCACCTACTGCACCAGTCTCTGTTGCTGATCTGAAGCAATTCAGTCACCACCTCAATCATGTTATTGTTGTGTTTCTTCAGCAGCCTCAAGTTTAACTGCCTGTCACAGAAGCCCATCTCACACAGACTGGACAGCAGAGTGGCAGTCTGCTCTTCTGGAGCTGCAGGCTGCTGAAAACAAAAGACAGTAAGATAAATTTTAAAAGCTCATTTGTTTTTTGCCATTTGAACTGGGGGCCCTGCATTATGCTAGAATCAAACTGAGGCACAGAGGCTCTTCTGGCCCCATTTAAGCCATTTATAACCCTTATTTATAATCCACTTCTCACAAAGGTGAGCTACTACTCTTACAAAAGGCTACAAGAGAAATGTTTTTATCCATATGGCATGGATTTCCCATTCTGCTGAGAGCAGCAAACCTTAAAGGGACACCATCAAACTTAACATTTTACTCTTACATTAACTCCAATACAGAACATTGGTACACTTTTAAAACCACACACCTGTAAACTTGTCATTCTATGAAACTCAGCCAGCACAGAGAGACACTCACCTGTTCAATAATGGGAGGCCCAGCAAATAATGCTTTGTAGGCAGAAGCAGCAACTGACAAAGCTCCTTTCACGAGCTCTCCTGCAATGCTGCTGCCCTGAGGGTACCTGGGAAGAGACCAGTGCTGCTTTAGGGGCAGTAAAGCCAAGGGTTTGCTTCAGTAAAATGCAGGGTTTTTTTTCAGTAAAATGCAAGGACTGCTGGACACAACAGCCTGTGATCCAAAGGAATCAGCAGTGTTTGGAAGTGAGCTGTACAAGAAGCTCATTCCTTCTTCTTGACACCTTCTAATTCAATTGTGGGTGTGTGCTTTCCATGAAGTGACCTTTTGTAAAGAGTTTAGTGCTCTCATCCAGAAGAGAACAGAGCTACATGAAAGCTGTGCACTGACACATCCATTCAGGGTAGGGTAACTGCTATTTGTTTTCTATGAATACTTAAGTTACTTGATAGTCTATTACATATATATATATATATATTCATATATATATTCATATATATATATTCTATACTCCAATATATAATATATTCTAATATACACTAGATATATTGTTTTCTATGAATACTTAAGTTACTTAATAGTCTATTACATATATATATTCTATACTCCAATATATAATATATTCTAATATACACTAGATATATTGTTTTCTATGAATACTTAAGTTACTTGATAGTCTATTAGATATATATATTCTATACTTCAATATATAATATATTCTAATATATACTAGATATATTGTTTTCTATGAATACTTAAGTTACTTGATAGTCTATTATATATATATTCTATAATAGATATAATATATTCTAATACATACTAGATATATCTAATATATAATATATTAGATATATATATTAGATATATATACACTCTAATATATTCTATATTAGATATAGAATCTATAGATTCTATAGAATATAGAATATATTATATAGAATCTATATATATTATATATCTATAGATTAGATATATATATCTAATATATAAATATATTAGAGATATATATACACACACTCTAATATATTCTATATTCATATATATATATACATATATATATATTCTTACTCAACATTTTGACTGCTCCAGTCTCAGTATTTCAGGACTACTTTATAGCTAGCTTGTAAAATCCCCATGCTAAGAATCCTGAGATTTTCCAGAAAAAAAAACCCCACAGAATTTTAGAAGCATTCAACTTGAGCTCTTCATTAAC